CCCCACCCTAATTAGGGGCAGGGCCCGCTGGCCAACCACCCATGGCCCCTGCCCCAGGCCACTGGCCCCCGATCAGCACCTGCCACCCCATTTGGGGTGGGCCAGCTGGCTCACTGCCCACAGCCCCTCCCCATAGCTGGCCCCGCCCCCAATCGGCCCCTTAACCCCAATTGGGGGTGGGGCCCACCAGCCAATCGCCTGCGGCCTCTCCCCCAGCTGGCCAGACCCTGATCGGGCCCCAATCAGGGCGGGTCAACCAGCCAACTTCCCGCCATCTCCTTCCAACAGGCTCAGCCCCAATCTGCCCCGATTGGGGCCGGGCTGGCCGGACCCTACCTGTGCATGAATTCGTGCACTGGGCCTCTAGTTTAGACATAAAATTTGAAAGTGGAAAAAGATTTAGAAACAAATCAACCATGCTCAAATTATGACTATTTTATGGTCTTTACAGGTAGGTATTTTAGATCAGGAATGCATTAAATAAATGAGCTCTTTTTAAAAAAGGGAAAAAAAGAAATTGACTAACTTGTCATTTTTACTTGAATAGTATTTTGAAGTCACTAATATATTGGATTAAATTTTTTAAATGAATATGTAAAGCATCATAGCTGATAATGCTGTTTGGTTTACCTGGATGTAGTTTCCAAATTTAATATGGAAAAATCTTGTCTTGTATTTTAGGGTTGGATTAGTAGAATCTAAAATCCGTGTGCTTGTTGGAAACTTGGAACGGAATGAATTTATTACTCTTGCCCATGTAAATCCCCAGTCATTCCCAGGAAATAAGGAACATTATAAAGAGTGAGTTAATTATTTTTTAATATTATATTTTTAAAGTAATGTTATTTGACATATGCATTGTTTAAGATGTGTTGTGAAACTGTTGTTTAACAGGCATTGCTGGGGAATGATACATTATGTATTTGAGTAGTCATTCATTAAAACAAAATACATGCTAGGTTGGTAGCCCATAGACCCCGGCAAAAACTCCATCACTATATTTGGGGCATCTTTAAATATATATTCAGTATGTCATTTTCAAAGCCATTTAATCCTTTTAACAAAACAGTGTAATTTACCAGTGTTCTTGGCATCAGTTTTAAGAATTTGGCCAAACGATTGAAATTTGTATTTATACTTTTAGAAAACCCCAAGTTTTTAAATTACCAAATAGCATTTATAAAAGTGTAAAGAATTAATGGAAATTTTAAAAAATTTTTTTACAGCAATAATTACGTATCAATGTGGTTCCTTGGAATAATTTTTCGGAGAGTAGAGAATGCAGAAAGTGTTAACATAGACTTGACATATGATATACAGTCATTTACTGATACAGGTAAGACTTTGTCATCATAGAGCTATGGTTCTCAACCTTGGCTCTAATGCAGTATTATCTGCCTAGGATCTGGCTGGCTGAATTTTTAAAGTTCTACAGTTGGTTAAGTGAATATGATACATCCATTTTATGAAAATCTATGCTATTAAAGTGAAGGCATGTTGAAACAATTTCCATGACATATTCAGTATGAGGGGAAATTGCAGAACAGTGTGTATAGTGCACTACCATTTATATAAGTAAAGAATATATGCATGCTTGCTTAGAAATAGAATATTTCTGGAAGGACATATACTTTTAAAAAAGAAAACTAACAACTGGTTGCTTCTAGGTGTGTTCAGGGGACAGGGATGAGGAGACTTTATTGAATACCCTTGAACCCTTTGAGTTTTGTACCATGTGAATGTATTATCTGTTTTAAAACAGAAAGAAGGCTAAAGAAACTCTACAGGTGATTCTCAGTGTGCACAGCCAGGGCTTGTAATCACAATCATAAAAATGACTTGATTTTTACTTTTTTTTTTTTTTACATAAAATATATATTAGTCAATGCAGGGTTGCTAAATGTTTCACAGTTATTCAAGTGTGTCTTTCACATTAAGCTCCCTAATAACACCTCTCTGGAATCTCTTAATATATCTGTTATAAATTTGGAGTTGTCTTAATCTGGAATAGTGTACATTCATACTGTCAATATTCTTGATTTGACTTCTCTGAGATTTCCAAATTCTTTTGAACTAGCCCTCACGTTTATCATGAAAGTGCACATTCCTCATATCACCTTAGTACTACTGAATCACAACTCTGGGAATGGAGCCAGAGAATCTGCGAGTTGAAAAGCACTTCTGGTGATTCTTTTATCAGCCATCTGGAATGAAAACAGATATAAATTTTTCCATTCTAATTTGAGCTCAATTTTCAAAAATGAAGAGCTTGGGAAACTTTATTATAAATTTATAAAATGTTCTCTGGTAGAAATACTGAAACCCCAAGAGATAAAATGATTTACCATATTTCACAATAGTTACCATGCAATAGAAGCCTTCCATCCCTGTCTTCAGAAAGTTTATAATGTAACTAGAGGCCCAGTGCACAAAATTTGTGCACTGGTAGTTTCCCTAGCTGCTGGCGGCGGCCGACTGTGTACTCCCTCCCTTCCCCCAGCCAGCCCCGCCCCCTGGTCAAACTCCTGGAAGAACTCCTGGTGGGGGGGGGACAATTTGCATACTACGCTTTTATTATATAGGATTGGCTAATCACAGTTAACATACATTACATTATGTGGTAGTTAACAAAACTGGTTTTCTTGTAGGGTATGAAAAGCACCAGGGTGGGAATCTAGGGTTGTGTGTATTCTGATGCCAGCAAAGGTGTACAGGGCTGACGAGCCTCATTTCCCCATCTGAATAATAAGGATGTACTTCTAGATGGTTTCTGACATTCCCTGATTGGCGTAGTAAAAGAGCTTCCTGAAGGGGGAGAGCTTGGATTGCATCTTGGATATTTGGTATAAGGATTAGCTTAGACTTTGTAGTAATTTTGAGAAGAGATTTCCTTTTGGGAAAATAGCAGAAAACAAGATTTAAATAAAACCTTTTTTTCATATATTTATATTGTTAATGAGATATTATTTGGAGAAAGTCTTAGAAGTTGGACATGAGAAAACCATTTAGTATCTGATTAGGATTGTGACCTGGTGAAAATGTTTTAGAAATATTTGTTCTGTAAAAGGGGTTATTTGTGTTTGTGTAGTGATGAGTAGTATGAATTTCAGAAAAAGAAAACAGTTCTTGGTTCAGAAAGAAGTTTCCATTTAACCTATTGATATTGTTACAGTGTACAGACAGGCAAACAATATAAACATGCTAAAGGAGGGAATGAAAATTGAAGCAACTCATGTTAAAAAAAAACAACTTCATCACTATCTTCCAGCAGAGATCCTTCAAAAGAAGAAAAAGGTGAGTTTGTAATTTTAACTCTCCAATACGGTTCCAGGGAACCACTTGATTTGCATTCTTACAGCTCCAAAACCCATTGAAAAGAAAGAGGGGCAGTATAGACAATTCAATCTAAGACCAAAATCTCACCTTCATTAATCATAAAAGATAATTTGTTTTATATGTATTTCAGAATTGAAAAGTCTCATTTGCTTTTTGAAATCCTAAAAACTTTCCCCCCCTTTCAGCAAAGTCTTTCTGATGTCAATCGTTCAAGTGGACCTCAATCCAAAAGATCATCTCTGGATAGCAATTGTTTGGATAGCTCTAGAGACACTGATAATGGAACACCTTTTAATTCCCCAGTGTCTACAAACAAACCTTCCAAGCCTGATAATTCTCCTTCAGGAGAAACAGAAAGGTCTGTATTTCAAAATTGTCCTTTCAGTCTTCAGTTTATTTGAGGATAATGTAAACTTTCCTATACCTTTTCTAAATACCTTTTAAAATTGTTAAATTATTTTATTTTTACCAGTTAGTTTAGAAATACTGGAGAATTTTTGATAATCTTATGGGACATGCTATTGGTTTATGAATATTTGGGACTAGGTTAGTACACAGAAATGCACATTTTTGAAATTTTTTTCTCTTAATTCTCACTAGGTCATCTGCCTTTTTCTCCCCTTTTCTCTTCTCAGTGAAATATTAAAGTAGGAGTACTCGAAAGAAGTAATCCTAAAATGTTAAAAGTGTTTTTAAGTAAAATTTTAGTCATTTAGTGATGTTAATTTAACACTGTTAATAGGAATAACACTGAACCTGCTGCTGTGATTGTGGAAAAGCCATTGAGTGTTCCGCCAGCTCAAGGACTATCTATTCCAGTCATTGGTGCAAGTAGGTGTCTATACTTTTGCTAGTAATGATTCTACTACATATATATTTAATTACTACAGTCTTTCTTTTTTTCCTTTTCAGAAGTTGACTCTGTAGTAAAAGCTGTATCACCCCCAGCTGTGTGCACCATTCCTACTGTAGTAGGACGAAATGTTATTCCTAGGATCACAACACTCCACAACCCTATCCAGGGACAACCACATCTAAATGGGATGGCAAATATAACTAAAAATGTTGTGCCCAAAAGGTCCCATTCCCCATCTATAGATATGTCTTCAAAGAGATTAAAAGATATAGAAAAGGTAAAGTTGCAACTTTAGTGGTGATTTACTAGTTTTTTTTTTTAAATTAACTTTAAGAGAGTACTAAAAAAATTTTGTAATTCTCCATAGCTATCTTAGTGTTCTATTATGATTTGACTATTCAAAAAGAATATTTATGCTCACCCTAAAGGAACAATTCTAATTGTTCATCCTAAATTCAAATTATTAATGTATCTGAAAACTTGAATGATTAATATAAGTTTCTCCTTGACTTCCACAGAAGTCATTATTGGCAACTAAACAGTCATATTTGTGTGTTATAATGTAGATCTCCTCTGCCTCCAGTAGAGGGTGGTAAAACTATTTTGTTATAAACTGAATTGTTTTAACCAAAAGATCACTCAAACTAGAAATTAAGGGTGGTCGGTTGAATTCAGGCTAATATAAATTTTTATGTTTGTAAGTAGTTTTGATGATAGCCTAATCACTAGTTTCTTAGTTTATATAGGTTTTTGTATATTTTTTGTAGGTAATAATAGCAATCATTTTAATGTTTATATTTTAGTTTATTCGACTTGAATCAAAGTTTAAGGAATCACGTGCTGCTGAAAACAGAAAAAGAAAATCAGTGGTAAATATATTATAATGGTGTGCTTCAAAATACTTTTAATGAGGCATGTATCAGGAAAAGTACTGTATTTGAAAGTGGGTCAGATCTATCTGTAGAGTTTTGTTATATTTTATTTCATGTAGAAATAAGCATTTGTATATAGGAGAGAAAGTTTACACTTGTATGTAATTCTTCTTTTTGTTTAGGATGCCATTGGGGGAGAATGTATGCCTATTCCAACTATTGATACTTCACGCAAAAAGGTAAAACAGTCTTACTGATAGGTGATATCAGTAGGTTAAAATGCATAGTTAATGTATAGGTACAAAAAGCTTATTAAGAGCTTAGCACTGGGTGAAGGGAAAAGGTGATTAGATTTTGTCCCTATCCTCAAAAACCAGCAGTATAGTTGAGAGTGGAAATAGCAAACAAGGTATATGATCCTAAATATATGTCCCTCAAAAGTCTAAAAAAGACAAAGTAGTTTAAGACTTCATGATTTATTCATGTTATGTTCAACCTTTGCTTTTTACTTAACCTTTAAAGAAGTAGTTTAGTGCCCAGCATAGTAATTTCTTACCAACACATGAGCTAAAGAGCCTCTAAACTTCAATTAAAAATTTTTTTTCAAAGAATACCATTTGAAACTAATAATGTAGTATAAGTAAGCATGGTAAACTGATAAGCAGGTCCTCAAAAGTCAGTCTTGTGTAAATCAGAGATAGTTCTTCTCTGAGAGTTTATAGTGAACAAAGAACAAAATGGCTCATTTTCACATGCACAATCCCCCATTAAAAAATACAGTGCTGCTTCTCAGTCAGCTGTCACCCTAGCAGGTTCTAAAGCAAAATGGAAAGTATCATCATGTTTTGTATTAGTTGTAGAATTTGTAAAATTGCTTTTAACATAAGAGTGGGTTACAAAAAATGTGGGTGTGATAATGGAAGAAAAAGCTTTGAAATGGATATTAAAGTATGAAAGCATGAAGTGACATGTCTGGGTTTTGCTTTAAAATATTTCATGTACAAAGGGTAAGAGCATAAACCAAACAAATGTGGCAAAATGTCTGAGTCTTGGCTGTGGCATCTAAGCCTTCATTCTCCTATTTTCTACTTATATATATGCTTGAAATTGTTCATGTTATTTTGAGTGGATGTGGATATCAGATATTTGCTGAGCCAAGGTAACATGAGAGAAAATTTAACTCTTGCAATCATCTTTGACATGAAGCTAGCATACTGTTTCCATTACACAAGTGTCTGTATTTTAGGTGTCTTCATTTCTCAGTTTCTCAGACTTTGCCTTCATTATTTAATAATCTTTAGTATTCTCAAAATCCCTAATATACTTGTCCCTGAATTTCACCATCATTGAAGTTACCTTGCCTCACTATAAAGTCAGTTGTCCTGAAAACTTTAACAGTGTTACAGAAACCAATTGAAGGATATAACCGCGCATCAAATTTTTACACCTCACACCCCAAGAGTTTCCTATTTAGTGACCAAGCTCTTCTTATTTCTCTGTACCATTGCCTGACTTTGAGGAGGACTATGTTCTTTATGTATTTCTCTGTCTAGAAGTAGTGATTGATTTAACAAAGTCCTCTTTCATATACATCACACTCTTTGTACTTTTATCCTTCCTATCCCTCTGCTTTTCATCTCTTACTGTAAAAAAAAAAGTCCCCCAAACAAGGAATGCTATGAACATTGGGATAAAATATTCAACACATACTTGAATGTTGATGAGATTAAGGATTTGGGAAAACTCAGTTATGACTGATTTACTAGTTGGGCCTTACATTTGCTTTCCCTTCTTTGTTTCTGTTTCTTTCTATAGAGACTGCCCAGTAAAGAACTACCAGATTCATCATCTCCAGTTCCAGCAAATAACATTCGTGTCATCAAAAATTCTATTCGACTGACTCTTAATCGGTAAAAGCAGTGCCTCCTTATTTAGGTGAATATGCAATCATTAGTGATACAGATGCAGCCACTTTTTTAAAAATAGAAGTGGCTGTCATACATAAAATAAGGTGAAAGTTATAGTCATGGATCTGACAACCTTCAAGTGGTTTTTGAACTCTCACACTTTGATCTGCAGATGCTGTAGCATCCTCTCATTGATTGCTACATACACTTCTCTGAGGATCACGTGCTGTCAAATTGTCATCTATAATATTATGGCTTTGTGTTGGAGGTTTTACTGCCTTAACTTTTGATGCTTAATTCTCTACTATGGGAACCAGTTCTTGGCTCTTTGGACACTGATAAAACAAGTCCTGAACTCCCTCTCCCCCCCTTTTTTCCTTTTTTTTTTTCCTTCCTTTTTTTTTTGTTTTGGTCTTATGTTGTAATCATTGTATAAAATTGAAAAAATTGAAAAAAAAAATTGTCTTGTAATTTCCCAAATGTTAACACATTTACTTTAGCATTGAAACCACTTTGTGAAACATGAGATGAATGAATGTGAGGTATCTTTTCTGCTTTCCTCATTTGTGTAGATGTACTTATGTCTTCTATTGATTTAAATTATTTTTTTCCAGATTGGCACATGGAATATTTAAAAAAAAATTTTGTGTGTGTGTGTGTGCCTTTCTGTCCAAATGTTCCATAGCTACCAGGGAGGATTAGTCTAGTGATTACATAAATTTTCTATATTTTGCCTCCTATGGAGGCCTTCAAAATGCATCTTTATCAAAATAGAACCAGGATACTAAAAATCAGTATATGAATGGTGAAATTGTTACATATCATATCTCATGCCATTCTTGTTAGCTGGCTGGTATTTTTTTACTGAGTAGCAACTCATTCCAGCATTAACATTAAGATACCTTTAAGTATGGCAAATTTGTAGTTTTGAGGTGTAAATTTAAAGTGGCATGATAATTCCTGACCATCACTTACCCCACAACTTCACACATTTTCTTCACAGACTAGGCATGCAGAAATAAGCAGTGGATTTTATTGGAACCCAAAGGCATTTTTGAATAACATTGTTACCAACCATTAATTGGCTCAGGACCTTTGTAATTTTTATTTAATTATATGAGTTGTCTTTTTTTACACTGCTTTTTTCAATGCATTTCGTAATATTTTTTAAGTTTCATGAACGCATGCTCAGTTTATTAAAATCCATAACCATGTAATTCTTGTAATATGTTAATTCAGTGTTTTGTAAATGAAGTCGTATGTATTTTCAGAGTATTTTTGTATGTACTGTAAGATACCATCTTTTCAAAGAGAAAACTTTAAAACCTTTATTGTCTCTCTAGTCTAATTTTTAAAATATGGATTATGCTTGAATTTTTCTTAAAATGAAAATGTATAGATTACACAGCAAGGAATGGCTGGTATATATTATTCAGCTTTCACTCCACATTCAGTAGGTCCAGTAGAAAAAACAAAATGGTACATTTGAATAATGCAGGGAGAATACTTGGTTGTGTATTTTATAGGACTTATGGGACAGCTTTTAGCCAATGGAGTAATAGTCCATTTTCTCTTGTGAGCCCTTTATCATTGATCGAAATACTTGAATTCTGGTCAAAGAACAGTATCCTTCTCCATGACCCTTGTGTCCCTGAAATGAAAAGTCTAGTGTTTCAATTGTACAAAGGAAAACTTAAAAGTAAAGAAGATCAAGAAAAACATAATCATTCTGTTATTCACTTTTGAGAAGAATGTATATCCTGCAGCTTTGGGGGGTGAAATGTTCTACAAATGTCAATTAAGACCATCTGTTCTCATGTGTCATTTAGGGTCACTGTTTCCTTGTTGATTTTTTTTTTTTTTTTTGGTCTGGAAGATCTATCCAGGAAGTCAGTGGGGGTGTTAAAGCCCTTTACTATGACTGCATTGCTGTCAAAATCTCCCTTAAAGTCCTCCAAAAGTTTTTTTTAATAGAGTTAGGTGCTCCTATATTAGGTGCATATATGTTTACCAGGGTTATATCCTCTATTTGGATATTATGTAATGACCTTCATTGTCTCTTGTTTTGGCCTTCATTTTGAAGTCTATTTTATCAGATATTAGTATTGCTACCCCAGCTTTCCTTCATTTCTATTTGCATGGAAAAAATTTTTTCCATCCCTTCACTTTTGTCCTGTGTGAGTCTTTTATTCTGATGAGGGTCACTTGTAGAGAGCATATATGTGGATCTTGTTTTCTTATCCATTCAGCTACCTATGTCTTCTGATTGGAGCATTTAATCCATTTACATTTAAGGTTATTATGGGATAGGTACTTATTTATTGCCCTTTTCTTTATGCATGTGTTTCTCTGTTTCTTATAGCAGTCCCTTTAATATTTCTTGCAATGCTAATTTGGTGATGATAAATTCCTTTTGCCTTTTTGGTCTGGGATGCTCCTTCACCATCTATTTTTAATGATAGCCTTGCTGAATAGAGTAGTCTTGGTTTCAGATCCTTGCTTTTCATTTCCTTGAATATTTCTTGCCATTCCCTTCTGGCCTATAGTTTCTCTTGAGAAATCAGCTGACAGCCTTATGAGAGCTCCTTTGTAGGCAACAAATTGCTTTTCTTTTACTGCCTGTAAGATTCTGTGTCTTTAATTATGTGTCTGGGTGCAGACTCTTTGGGTTCTTCTTGCTTTGGACTCTGTGATTCTTTAACTTGTGTGACTTTTTCCTTCACTGGGTTTGAGAAGTTTTGTGCCATTATTTCTTCAAATAGGTTATCTATCCCTTGCTTATTTCTTCTGATACCTCTATGATATAGATATTGTTATGTATTATGGTGTCCCACAGCTCTCTTAAACTGTCCTCTGGTTTTTTGTTTTTTCCTTCTGGTACTCTGAGTTTTTTTCTACTCTATCTTCTAATTCATTGTTCTGATCCTCAGCTTGCTCTAATCTTGTGTTTATTCCTTCCATTGTATTCTTTATTTCTGCTATGTCATTCTTTATTTCTGACTAGTTGTTTTTCAAAGTTTCTATATCTTTTTTTATGCTGTTGAGCATCCTTACAGTCATTACTCTGAATTCTATATCTAATAAATTGTTTATCTCCATTTCATTTAGCTCTTCTCTTATTCTTTCATTTGTGGCTTGTCTCCCCATATTTCTTTTGGCTGCCTGTTTGGGTTTGTTTCTATATATCCGGTAGATCTGCTACAACTCCCAGGCTTGGTAGGTGGCCTTACGTAGTGGGTAACCTGTGGGGTCCAGTGGCACAATCTCCCTGGTTACCAGATCTGGGTGCTCTAATGTTCCTTGTGCATGTTGCATGGACCCTCCTGTTTTAATTTAGCTTTGATTGCTATTGGCTCTTTAGTGCATGGGTTCAATCCTCGGGTTGGCTGACAATGAAGCTCAACCCTCAACACAGCGTGCAAGCTGCTGTGCAGTTACTTATCACACAAAGTGGAATTCTCTGCAGGGTTTGGAGCCTGCCAATATCTCTCAGTTGATATACTGCTTGTGGAGCTTATTAGAACCTACTTTGTTGTCAGAAAGCTGGCCACTGGGTTTATTGGTTTGGGGCTTCTTCAAATGGTCTCTGGTTCAGGCCAATGTCAGACGCTGTTTGTGACGGGCCTTGAGTACCCTGTTTAGAGCTATCAATGATCCACAGCTTGTGGCTCCCTCTGCTGGGCAGGATGCATGGGGGAAGGACCAAGCTGTGCACCCAGGTCTGCTTTTCTTAGCCCAGGGCCCAAAGGCAGGTCAGGCAAAGAGTCAAAGCACCCAGAGATATAGGGTGATTGTTAGTCTCAGTCACTTAAAAAGCCTCAGACTGTAGAGCACAGCACAGCCTAAACCGTAGGGTGGGGTAAGAGGGTTTCTAACAGGTGGGGCAATTTCTTCCCCCCAGGCTAAGGCTGCAATGATGGGAAAGGTCTGCCTGAGATAGGTGGCTTCTGCAGCGTGGGGGAGTGACTCAGCACAGGGATCCCAGCGGCTGCCCTCTCTGCTCTCTTCCTGCTGAGTCACCAACTCCAGACTCTCCTCACACAGCTCTAGTCCACTCTGCCCTCCCACTGCTGGAGCCCCAGGTAAGTGGCTGCAAACGAAATTTAGTGTGTTGGCCCTTTAAGGGTGTGTCTGCGTTTCTAGCTCTCTGTCCCTGCTCAACAGAACCCTGGTACTTTTCACAGCCAGATGTTATTTGGGCGCCTTTCCCAGTTCTGGTGCTCTGGGCCGGGGAGCCCAGTTTGGGCTTCCCCAGACTTCTCAGAGGGAAGCCCCCCACAACTGAGATATCCCTCCGGAACCTCAGCTGCTGCCTGTGGAGCCTAGCCAGCCACTCACACCTCTGCACCTCCTATCAGTGTTGATGTTATCTCCTTTTTACATCTTTGGTTATAAGGGTTCTCTCCAGCTAATCTTCAGTTGGTTATTCAGGATGATTTTTTTTATATTTTAGTTGTAATTCCAATTTGGTCCTGGGAGAATGTCACTGTAACTTCCACGTAATCCACCGCCATCTTGGTATCTTCCCCCTTTAATTCACTTTTTATAGAGGAAAAGACAGGAATCGAATCCCACAACCAAGTTGTAGTTTCCTTAGCAAAGCAAAGCTGTTCTTTTAGCTGAACATTTTCTAAGTCACTGTCTTCCTTTTTAGTTTTCAGTGTCTTCACTTCCTGGCCTCGGAGTCAGCTTTCACATGGCGGGGCCCTGATTATGGCTGTGCTTCCCTCTCGAGTCTTTATATTTTCCACTGTTCCTCACTACATTCTCGGTATGCTGGTGCCAGTCCATATCTCTTTGAACTTCCACCTCGGTTTCTGTGTTCACCATTCTGACCACATCCTGCACTTGGCAGGTCAGTTTGGGGGATGGCCCACACACGTCCCAAGTCCCACAGGTTGTGGCATGTGGCCTCCAGCTTGGACTCCTCCCGTGCATGCAGTGCTCTTGGTCCCTCTCCCAGTCTTTGCCTTGGCTCTGGTGCTTTCCAAGTCATGCCCTCAGGCTTTGTCCCTCAGCTTCTCTCTTCCCCCATGGCTTCTCCTTGTCTCTGTCCCTGCAAGGATGACCCCTGGGGCTGTGGCTGGTCTCTGTCCCCCACCCTCTCTTTGTACTTGGCCTCCTTGTCTGGATCCCTAGAGTTCTGCTGCTTGGACTTTGAGACATCCATTTCCAAGTCCTTGTGTTTCTTACTTCCCTGGGAGTGCCCGACTGCAGCCCAGAGGTGTTTTCTGAGGTTCTCCGCTTTCCATGGATCAGCTTCGGTTCTTCTCTTGCTTAGGAAAGCTGTTTTCTTAGCTGAACTCTTTCCTTTATTTAAATATTTTTGTTTTTGAAACAATGAAAATCTCTATTTTTCAATATCTTACACAAATTTCCCAGGAGACCAAATTTTGCTTAAGGGTCTGAGTCCTGACTCTTTTGACGGTGTGAGGCAGTTGCAAAATCCACAAAAATTCCACAAATGGGCTCTGGAATTGTGTACATCAGACTTTTCATTTTCTGCATTAATGCATTTTGAATTTCTTTATCTCCTTTTTTTCTGGCTGAGGGAAGTTCTTTAATTCTCTCGATTCTGGCTCATTAGTGCGAACTAATCCTCTCCATCACAAACCTCAAAGTCATCTTCATGGTCTTCAAAATCATCTTCAAAATTGGCCGTGTAGTTGTCAGCTCAGACATTTTCTAAGTTGATGTCTTCCTTTTCAATTTCCACAGTCATCACTTCCCAGCCTTGGAGCCAGCTTCCACGTGGCGGGGCCCTCGTCGTAGCTGTACTTCCTTCTCAAGGCTTTATCTTTTCCATTATTCCTCACTACATCCTCTGCATGCTGGTGCCAGTCCCATATCTCTGTGAAATTCCACCTCAGTTTCTTTGTTTACCATTCTGACTGCATCCTGCACTCAGGAAAGTCAGTTTGGAGGGTAGCGGCCTGAGCATATTCAGGCCCCACAGGTTGTGGTGCATGCCTGCCAGCTTGGGCTCTTCCCTCCACACATGGTGCTCTCAGTCAGACTCTGGTCCCTTTCCCAGCCTTTGCCTCAGCTCTGGTGCTTCTCCAAGTTATGTTCTTGAGCCTTGTCCTTCAGCTTCCTTGTCCTGGTCATCCCTTCTTTTCCCCCATGGATTCTCCTTATCTCTGTCCCCATGAGGATGCTCTCTGGAGCTGTGGCCGATCTCTGTCCCCTGCCCTCTCTCTGCACTTGGCCTCCAATCTGAGTCCCTGAGCTTCTGCTCCTTGTACTCTGGGATGTCTGTTTCCAAGTCCTTATGTAGTTTTTTTTCCTTATGTTTCTTTTACCTTCCTTGGGAGTACCGACTGTGCAGC